TTTGGGTACGCTAATCAACAATCGTCATCTTATCAGAACCGATAATTTACAAAATATTCATAATCGTCTTGAATATGAAGTAAACACAGTGAATAGGAAAATGAACTCACTATTTCCTGAAGAAAGAACAGAAAGAGGCTTAGTAAATCCAGCAGAATCACTTTTGAAATTTTTCACTGGAAATCTTGACCAAAAAGACGCGAAAGAAATCTTTGGTAGCATTTCGGAACTCGAAAGCAATCAGAACAAAATAATCAACAAGGTGAACAAACATATTTCATTAACAGCTAATCTGATGAATAATATCAATGACACGATGACTACTTTCAAGAAAAATCAAAATTTAATCAAAAATAAAATTAATCTGTTGACAAAAGTCCTAAATGATCAATCTCTGCTATTTTCCCATTATTTGACAATTCATGATATATTGGACCAAATTGAACTTAATCTTGATTCACTCCTAAATTTCCTTTCAGAAACTGAAAATGCTGTGAGTTTCGCATACCTCAGAACTCTATATCATAGTATTGTTTCTCCAAAAGATCTCAAATAAATAATAAATGAATTATATAAATCGCATACTGAATCGCAAATGCTGTTTCATTTAGACGATTACCTCAAATATTATAGTATAGTAGAAACCAGCGTTTTTATATCTGATGACAAAATGATATTTTCACATGACTCTCCTTTGGTTCACCCTAACACATTTGAACACTACCACCTTTTTCCAATTCCTAATCGAAACCAATCAATAATTATACCTTCTGCAACCTACATAACCTTGAGCAACGAAGACTATCAATACCACAAGTAAGAATGCATTGAGCTTAGACCAAACTACCTCTGCAAGAAGAACCATCTTTTACCCCTTCGAGAGAACTCGGATTGCATAACATCACTTCTGTCTGCCGAAAGCAATTCAATCAGCTGCCAACAAGTTCCGATTCACGTCAGTCGACAGTTGATTGAAGAAATCAACGAATCCCATTATATTGGTATTTTCCCAGAAAATTAGAAACTCCATCTTGATTGCAAAGAAAACGATGTGGCCATAGTCCGTGGCACGTACCTCTTTTCATTCCACCAACATGTTCCATAAAAACACCAACCTACAGCTACAAGAATGAGAAGGGTGTCATTATAGGACATCCCATTTTATTGGAAGAAATCAAAGCTTTCAATATGACAACTCTTCATGTTGAAAAACTGCGACTCGAGAAAGTTTCCCTTGATAAACTACACGAGCTTCAACTACAACAACTACAAGACGAACCCCTTGAGACGATCAGCCTTCACAGAAGATATTTCATATGGTCCATTGGGAGCGTCGCGACGCTTGTCATGTGCGTCTTAGCCTACCTATGCATCGCCAAAAGAAGCAGAGTCCAGACATGGTTTTGCAAGAAACGAACACAAGAACCCCAGAGGATATCCATCAACGAAACTCAAGTCGTTCCACCCTCGAGTTCCTTCTAAGGGATGGAGGAGTTATGTAAGCAGCAACCCGGTTTGCCGTGAGAACCTGCTGACATCAACATCAGCAGAAATCCGACTTCAGGCAAAGAACGAAATGCCTTGTGAACCGCAATTCAGAATAGACATGATCTTGGTAGAGTAAAGACGTATATTTTATTATTGTAAAAACTGATTGAATAAATAATTTTTGTCTCTCGAAATATGAAGTGCTTTTTTGAAAAGCCTTTTCGAGACAGTGAAAACATAAAGAGATGCTCACATTTTGAGATATTGCAGATGCAGTAAACCAAAGAGAAATAGACAGAAGAAGGACGGTAGTAGTAGGAAGACTGTGACAACTAACTACTTCGTCAAAAAAGATGGTTGCCAATCATTTGAAGTTCAGGATTGTCAAACAACGTTCCTGAATATCCTTCATATTTCTAGAGATCGAGTTCAAAGAATTTCCAGATCACATTCAAATTCTGGACTCATGCCTCGAGAGAACCGTGGGGGTCATCGAGGTAGCATCAGATATGATGAAAAACGAAGAGCTGTAAGAAAATTCATCAAAAATTTGACAGGGATGGAGAGCCATTACTGTCGTTCGAAATCCCATGGACGACAATATTTGCCAAGTGGTCTGAGTATATCCAAGTTATGGAGATTCTATGATGAGTCCACAAAACCGACACTCAAAGTAAAGGGGTCTTTCTTCCGAGATGAATTCACAAAATACTAAACATTGGTTTCGGTAGTCCGATAACAGATGCCTGCTCAAAATGTATAGAGCTTCCGGAAAACATAAAGTCTGAGAGGGATAACAATGTGAGAAATAATTTGATTATTGAAAAAAGAGTACATAAGCTGAGAGCTAATGCATTTTTCAAAAAACTGCAGGAAATGCGCTATAATATGATAACTTTTTCATTCGACTGCCAAAAAAACTTGGTCAACCCAAAGGTTCCAGACCAAATTGCTTACTTTAGCCGACAGCTGTACACGTATAATTTCACTATTGTTCAGGGTTCATCTGAAAGCAAAATGTCATTAGAAAATGTCTTTATTTATACATGGCTTCAGCAGTATATCATCGTCTTTCCCAAACCGATCTATCATCAGACTCTGTGCTGATGGGTGTGGAGGACAAAATCGCAATTCGACTATGATTGGCATGTGTTCTTTCTTTTTAGCAAGTACTGCTTCACCCAATATCAAAACCATTGAACTCGTATTTCCTATTCCTGGGCATTCATAACTACCTTCAGATAGAGTGTTCGGAAGGATTGAGAAAATTTCAAAACGGAACCCAACAATCACAGATCCTGAGACATATATCGATATCTTCAAGGAACACGGAACCGTGGTGAAGTTAGGCAGAGACTGTGCAGTAAAAGACTGAATATTTCAAACCTGTTCAGTCATGACACTCCAAGTTCTCTTTAGCAAAAAGGTTTTTGATATCAAGAAATCAAAGGAATGGTACCATGGTACGAGGAGAATATAACTACAACTCAGATTATGGAGCACCTAGATGTATATTGAAGAAAGGCAAGGAACTAGATATGTTTTCTCCTAAAGGAATATCATTAGGAGTCCCAGTAAATCCATTAAATCTGGCAAATGTTGAAACTTTACTAAATAAACATTCCGGAAACGAATGGTATCTGGAGAACATGTTGAAGAGAAAACTCCTCAAGATGAGTTTTGTGAAGTCAGACCTGAAGCTGAAGAAGAAATGGGCTTGAGAATTTGAATTATTCCATTTCAAATTTCATAATGAATTATTAATGAGAATAAGATATTGTTTATGCCAAACTGGTCTTACCCTGTTCTTGTCGTATCAAAACTTGCTAAATTCATATTGTCGGTGCGATACTTGTCTTATCCAAACTTAAATATTATTTTTCTGAAAGTCGTTGACACTTACATTTGATTGAAATATGGTGAATCATTTCGTGGAATCTACTACATATGATTGAATTTTATGGTGGAAATTTCCAGAATAATAAACCTTGTACAAGTTTTTCTCATTTTTCCATAATTTGCTCTAGATGGATGAGAAGAGTTTTGCTTTCAGACGCCTCTTATGGAATTACTGCATGGAGATTGATATGTGATTGTACACCCATATTTGATATTATTCACAACCTGATTTATTTCTATGAATAGAATAGCCAAAGATTTCTTGATTAAACCCAACCGTTCAACAAAATCACTTGTTATCAGATTTCATTGTGACCCACTATCAAGTAATATTCTACAGTTTTTTAAATCCCTATTTGAATCAGATACTTGTACTAGAGCTGTGGATGATAATACCTCACCAATGTCAATATTTCCAAAATCCAGGAAGGAATATTTGATCTGATTTGTTGAGTTATCTCCAGTAAATTGTTGATCATTTGAATCACGTGTTATACGAGGGTTGGTTTTAATACCTGGTCTTTTTTGCTCACCATTATCATGCTCACTTCGTAATTCATTCACAAATTGTTGATTGTGCAGAAGCGTATTATGTTTAGATACATTTCCTACAGCCACCTGATCCACAATCATTGCTAATGTGAGTTTCCTCATTCAAACAATTGAGACATAGTCCCAACTTTTTTGCCTGTTCATATCTTGTGTGTACATTCAATCTTGAAAATTCAGGACAATTATTCATATATTGTTTATTTTCACAACACACGCAGGAAACTGGTGCAGCAGTCGATGATAGTGTTTCATGAAATCGATTCTTATCATAATGTTTAACTTCTACTTTACTCTCATCCTTCTTCTCATTTCCTTCAATACTTTTCAACATATTCACCCTGTCATTCAAAAACTCTTCGAATACATTTAATGCAGCTAATTTTATTTTCTGTCTACGTTCTTTTCATACACGAAATGTATTTTGATCAAACTCATCTGTCATATTGATAATTTTTATCGGATCCCATGAACTTGTTGAAATCCCAAGTTTTTTCAAAGCAAATAATATTTTTGTTATCGTATCCAACATATTTCTCAAATCAGTAGCAGATTCTCTACCCATTGATGGGAATTTCAATGGAGATTTCAGATGATGATTAACCAACATGTGAGTGTCATCATATATCTGTCACACAAGAGGTTCCAAACTATCTCATAATACCAGCAGAAATATTTACCATATCAATGACTTTTTGTGGTTCCCCTTGAAGTGAACCTTTTATATAATGGGATTTTTCTGTACTCCTTATACTTCTTTCAGATTATGGAAAAATTCTTGCATTGGAATCATGGTTCTCGTGGAATAGTTGGAAAGTATAGTTGTTATCTGTTGAATAAACCGAGAGAGAATTGGTATTTCCATCACATGGAGAATGCGAATTCTCAGTGTATTTCTTTATATAAATATATATATCAATATTTTTGTGTTCATGAATATATCTGAGAATATTCTCTTTCAGTTCAATTATATCAGATGAATAATGTACTCACGAGTCACTAAGGTGGTATCATGGATGAACCTAAACAACGATAGAAATTTCTATCATGAAAAGTAAACTCACCTCCCATTTTCAACCCTCTTGCTTTGAATTCATCATAGAAATACTGAGATAATTGCCCAATCGCAAATCCTTTTGGAAAAAATCTCTTGTTATTTCCAGTAGGAAACGTTGGTTCCAAATAAGGAACATTTCTTCTTTTCCAGTATCCGTATTTGTACTTTACAAATAAAGTAGCTAATATGGCCACGCTCGCAAACAATATCGCAATTTCTGTCAACATCTTGATGCCGTGATGAGACAAACTGATCGATGATTTATCACACACATGTTTACAGTGCTATTTTGTGTTGGTTCATATCACGAACAAATATTTGCAAAGTCGTTTCTCCTTCATCATATGAAAATTACCTGACCTTGTTTATGACATGGCATAATCAACATGAATTCAAGGTATTTCTCGATTACAGGTAGATAATTATCTCGATACTGAATGATGATTGATCGTTCTGATGAATACATTCAATATTCACTCAGTGCATCCGCTTGACGCTTCGATTTGGTGCCCGGGTGCTTGAATTATTCAAGTGATAAATTTCGATTGTTTTTTTTTTAAATCAGTTTACGATTTTTATTTTTATGCAACTCAAATTATCCGTTTCGACGGAATTATCCTCATCAGTGTGTTATTTAGCAGATTAATACATTCAAAATACACGTATTGATTGGTTGAAATAGTTGTATCAATAATCAGAAACCTCATGTTTTCGATATTGTATTTCGGCAGTTGATTGGACAGTTGATACATAATAAAATGTGATGTTATTGATTTTGTATTTCGCTTCCACTTGAGAGTTTGATAGAATATCAAACAGAAATACTCACATGCAGAAATCTGTCATGGACATAAATATCATAATATTCCTATATTCATCATAAATATAAATCACTCAACAATAAACTCTATGCCAAATCGTGAAAGGCACTCAATTTTAATTTGTACATGGAATAATTCTAGACGATCGACATTTTTGAGAATCATTTTGATTTTCAACAAAACCCTTACCTCTCGACTTGAGTGATAGTGGAGTAACATGAATCACCTAGAGATAGGACGCAACGTATCAAATGTATAAAGAGCATCAACGAACGCATCGACTGCAAATGAAAATATTACATGAAATTATTGTTTTATTTTTATTCATGGAATAATAAGTGAAATGAGTCCTACAAATATGAATCTTTCCGAGAAGAAATATTCTCCGATATAATGATAAACAAAATAAAATGGATATATACAGTGTGTGCGAATAAAATCAAAGTTGAGGTTAACCATTCTGAAAACTCAAGTGAACTGTTTTTTACATACTGCACCACACAGTTACTTTGACAATCGTATTGATTGATAAATGACTGTCAAATAAAACACGAATAGAATGACCGTAAAACAATCTTCAAAGACTGCAAGGAGATTCACTGATACTCAATGTGGTCATAATATACAGATTTTGGCAAAATGGAAAGAAAATTTGGGATGACAATGGGAATTGTCATATATAGAGAATATTTTTCCGACTCAGTCACAATCATTCATATTACCAGGAAAAGAAGCTTTGGATCATTATGAAAAATGTGTCAACTTCAATTTCATCACTGTTTGGTTGACCAAGAGAGATCTTGCTGTAGAAGTTGAACAAAGAAACTATGTATCATAGTATCGGATTCGTTTGTCCATCGAATGACTACTTCACCGGTTATGTCAACTCCTCAGATTTTAATACAGGGTGGATCGTAAAATAAAAAATATCAAGAGTTTTCTCTGAATAACTAACACTTCATATGAGATTGTGCATTCAAATTGTGTATGGGGTCATTTCAGCTATGCCTGAATTGAATAGGCTAGTCACAAATTGATAAAAAATTGCCTGATAGTCCTTGAGAAATCAAATTATTCAAATTCATTCACATTCTGGGTGAGAGCTCGTTGAATACCATATTATGATGAGTATATGTGTGTTTGTTAATCAGTTTCGAATTGAAAGAGTGTTGCGGGTTGAAATCGCAGACACTGTATATAAAGATATACATTGGAAATTCGCATTCTACACACTGAAAATACGTAATTTTCCAAAAACTCAACAATCCAAGAAGCTTCAGCATCACGGAAAGGGCTTAAAAGAGTATACTTTGAGAACCAATCAGCTACAACCAGCGAGTTAGTGAAGCCTCTGGACGACCTGGAAAAGGGTCCCATTAGGTCTATGGCAATAGTTTGAGAGGGGAAAGCTAACTTGCTTCTCACGACCCATAAGACCCCGTATTAGCTATTTTTTGTGATTGTCATATCTTGCAGGAACGAATATACTTTTTGATATCAAATAACATCTTAGGCCAGTAGTAGTTAGTTGAACACGCGAAAAAGTTTTATACACACCGAAGTGTGAACAAGTAGGTGGATCGTGATTGTCGCTGATGACTTCACATCGCTGGGACTTTGGGACAACTATCTTCCACTCAGTTCCATCTGTTTCAAACAGGATTTCCGAAGAAACATATATCCACAGAAGTTCTATGTCGACTATCCATTGAGAAAATGAATCTGCCTCTTTGATAACTTTGTTACAAAGTGAAGTATACCACTTTTTATTTCTATCTGCTGAATTTTTTATCAAATCTACTACCATCCCTTGAATATCATCAGGAGGATCATTTGGGGGAATACGTGAAAAAAAATCCGGTAGGACGTTTGTTCAACCTTTTCTGTACAATAATTCGAAATTGTGTTGTCTCAAATTGATAGCCCACCGAGCAAATCTGCCACACGGATCTTTCAAGTTGTTCAACTACAAAATGCTACTATGATCTGTGAAAACCTTGAATTTAGTGCTCTCTACATAGGGACAAAATTTATCAATCAAAAATATTAGGCTCAAGAGTCCTCTTTCCGAGACTGTGTAATTTCTTTCAGTACGAGATAAAGTGCGCGAGGCATATGCAATTACTTTTTCTCAACCATCTTTTTCTTGTGTCAACACGCCACCAATACCGTGATCGCTAGCATCACAGGAAATGATAAATTGTTTTTCGGAATCGGCTGAACATAGAATAGGGAAGGAAACTAGCGCACTTTTGATTTTTACGAAGGCCTCTTCAGCTTCAGCTTACCAAGTGATCGGTTGGCCTTACTTAAGTCAGAATAGCCTAACAAAAATCTTCTGTATCAAAATACCATCCCAATGAACCTTTGCATCCCAGTACTGGTAGTAGGACGTGGAAAATTTGTCATTGTCGTGACCTTATCAGAATCTGTTCGAAGATCTTGTCTATCGATAACATAGCCTAAATATCTATGTGAGGTCTTGAAAAATTCACACTTCTTAGGGTTGATAGTTAAATTAGATTCCTTCAGAATGTTCTCTACTTCAGATAAAAGAGATGAATGTTCAGAAAAGGTTCTCGATGTGATAAATATATCATCAAGATAGGTAGAAATATTGGGCTCAAACTGGGCACCAAATAGAGTGTCACGAAGTCATTGTTGAGTTCGTGCACTATTGCATAGCCCGAATGGCATTACTTCAAATTGAAATAAGCCTCGCCCCGAAACACTCAAGCAAGTCTTTCCCTTCGAAGATTCATCAAGTGGCTTTTGCCAAAAAGCTTATCTGAGATCTATGCTTGAGATATACTTCGCATCTCTAAGTAGATTTAATATTCTCTCTATCCGAGGAAGAGGGTGACTATCATGTTTTGCGATGTCATTTAATTTTCTCCCATCAAAGCAAGAACGATATCCACCTGAAGATTTCTTGACTAGAAGTACAGGTCTATTGTATGGATTTTGTGAAGGTTCCACAACCCCAAGCTCTATCATCTCATCTAATTCTTTATCTAGGATGTTCAGCATATAAGTTGACATTGAATACTATTCCACTCTCAATGGTTTGGCATCACCAGTATCGATAGTAAGCTTGATTTTATTTGTGAGTCAAAGGCGTGAATCACAACCGATTTTGTTAAATGTTTCTATAACCTGTTGAGCTTGAACTCTTTCATGAGGTAACAATTCCAGACAATCATTGAATAATTCTATATCTTGAGATCCCTCCAGTTCACCAGATACAACTGATAATAGCCTATTCGTAACTGAACTATGAATGTTCCACCTCTTATTCTCGAAGTCAATTTTGATTTTGAATTGGTTGCAGAAATCTTCGCCTAAAATAAAGGAGTGAGGTAGTGAAGGAATCACCAAAGTTGGGACAATCTGTATAATAACATCCACACAAACTGGTAAATCTACTTTACCTTCAACTAGCTGTTCAGTAACATCTACAGTTGTTACATGTTTCAAACTGGAAGTATTCACTTTCGGATCGAGGTTCTCCAAAAAAGGTTAGGCTTTCTCACCGCAAACCGAAACGTTGGCACCACTGTCCAACAGGCAAAATAGAGTTTGATCAAAAATTCTCACCAGATATAGGGTCTATTATCTCTAGGCTTTTGTGTGAAAATAGGTGCAATATAATTATTCTTAAAATTTCTATGAAAAACTTCAACTTCATCATTCCAATCATCCCAGTCCTTTGTGTTGAAAAAAATTGGATGAGGAATATTTGTAAATTCATCGCTGGCTTACTGGAATTTAGGAGGAATTAATGAGCCAGTTGACATCACCCCCTGTCTTAGTTTCCCTGACACTTTTAACACTCTTTCGAAATCACATCAGGACAGCCGCGTTTAAAATTAATTTTTTCCCACTACATTATCATGACATTTTCTTGTGTATTTTCACGTAAATTGAGATCATTTGAGTTTTTCAAATTTCTCTTGCTTTTTGCAAATCGTTTAGATGGCCGGGAATTCCACCTTTGGTAATTCCTATCATGATTGAAACGGGAAGACTGGGTGTCTGATAAATGAGCCATGTCGGGGTCTATCAAGCATTAAGCAGTCCTAAAATTTCGAGAGCTTGATGCCAAGCTGAGTATATCAGCCTCCTCTAATCTCTCACACAAACTACTTGAAGTTTCAACACTATCAATGTCACTCAAGGCGAGTCGCTTCCTATACTCTGCTTGGAGTCCTAACTTGATATATTTTATTTTAGTTGGCTCTGCTGCACCACGACTGAGTCAACTGAATAAGGTTTCCATACAGGCAATAAAAATAACAAGTGAGGTACGTAGTTTTTGAAAGGTATCAGATCAGTAAAGATGTAGTTTCCATTAGGTATCAGATTAGTATAGCATGGCACCATATCATGAGCATATTTTTATATTGAAACTATCATTGAGCACCAAAGATGTGTATACGACGCTATGAAAGTT